AGCTCGCAAGCTTTAATGGTTGAATACATTCCTACTTGAAGACGCGGATTCTTTGGCCTGGAAAATTAAAGAGCAAGTACTTGAGCATATGGACGCTTGCGATAAAACATCGTTGGAATGAATTAGGCCTAAGTAGAAGGTGCGGTCTGGAATAGGCGCTTGCTCGGCTCATCACATCCATATTTTATTCAGCATCGATGGAATTCCGCGAGATTATTGGGATTCGATGAAAGGGGGCGCGGCCTGTAGGGGTGCGGCTTCCACCAAGGACGCGGTTTCCAAGTGAACAGGCGAAGGAGAGGCAAGGAATCGCCCATCTTTTCCTTTTGGGATGGGAGTTATAGATTTCGCCATATCTTTAATCTTCAATTGTATCGTATACTTTTCAATCGTTCGCACGTCGCTACCCTAAATAATGCATTGCACGGTTGTCATTTTTTTTGTTCCCAACTAAGTCCTCTTCGGATTTTATATGATAAGCTGTGACATGTAGGCTTTCGTGGTTATACGGTATTATGGATTGTATATAAAACGAAATCTCTTCAATTGCGTTGCTGATGTTAACACCGCATCACTGTTAACATGTTGTAAGCCTGACATCAACCGGTTAGAGGGGCAGGGACATGTTAGAAGAAAAGACCGAACATGTCATTGCGCCCTGCCGTTGCGACTTCGGGAATGCCTTCAAACGGTCCTTTCAAATCGCTTCATCTCCATCTTATCTCGATCATCCCTGAGGGCCAAAATAGAAAAGAAATCCTGTATCATGTTCTCGATCGTATCCATATCCCCACTGGCCCGAGTGCGCACACTCTGCACAGCTGGTCAAAAAGGTGAATTCCAGCAATGAATAAGGATCCTCCTGCTTGCGTTTAAATGAGCCTTTTGGAAACGAGCCGTGAACACGACTGTGCGGTGGTGGACAAAGATACATTTTATATCGTTTCGCCGAGAAAAATTGAGCTTCACCGCATGGCAGATTTTCTAGAAAAACTGCATAGCTATGTTTAGGCTGATAGCAAAGAGACGAGGATGAAGTGGTTGCATTCCTTTCCAAAATAATCGTGGCCGCGAATATAAGAATTCCTTGGAAAGACGACAACTCAGGGGGAAGCTGCATGGCTGGTGATATGCCATAAATTCCAAACATTCCAACGAAAAGTGAACTGGAATACACTCTGATTTTCTGTACTCAATAAAAGGTCAATCAATAAGATTAAGTTAGATATGAGCCCAAGTTTGGTCTTCGAAAATTCGTTATTTTACCCTAAGGGACCTAAAGCGCTGCAAGCCCCTAAGAAGCCAGGTTCTATCGAGCCCGATGTACATGGTGTTCCAAAAGAAACCGTGCTGATTCGTATTTTGTAGGAATGATGATAACTTTTATCTGATCAGTCTAATAAACTGCATGTGGATAGAAGAAAGGTTTTTGTCGTATTTGAAGGAAATTGACCCTGTGTCACATGCTACACCGTTTCAAACTTGAAGGATAAGAAAAAGCACCGGACATTTAGAGCTGAGCGTCATCGATGGAACAATACAGGAATGACGGCGGCGGCTGCATGCTGCATAGCGTCCGAGAACGTGGGAGCCATTTTGAGCATATGCTGTGACCAAACTTGTGAATTTGCTTCAAATTTGCAGAAACCTTCCATGATCTATCCACATTCAATATTTAATAAATTGGGATGATCAGATAAAGCTTAATATCTTAATTATAAAAGCAATTTGGCGCATTTTTATTTTGGAACCCCCTTGTTTATTTTACAAAATTGTCACAAGCACATAGACCAGGTACAAATTTCCTTCGAATCAGCTAAGGATTTCGTTATCAAAATAGGTGACGCAGGGGATGCACCACACGCTCTGCCTCTTTGGCTCTTTGGTATAGCACGCACAGACTTTCGTTCGCTTCACTGGATGAGGCGAACGCATCAATGTGCTTGTACGGCACACTTTTTCATTACTATCAAGTTGTTTGTTTTCACTTATCAGTAGTTCGGTACTAACGTTGTCCTTGGTGACGATTTTCTTTAGTCAAGCAACACTAGTAAACAATAGCGCTAAATCAGACCAGAACGAATATCCAGTCAGTAAACTCCTGACTCTTTCGACCCTGGTGCTTTGAGTGCGCTGTGGACGTAGGACGTCACATGATTAGTATAGGACTGAAAGTATTAATAAAAGTAAGCAATTTCGACCAGAGCGAGTAAACTGGAGATAGTGATTTTTACTTCCTAAAAAAAGAGTGTAAAATCGCTAAATTGTTCTATTTTCGGAAAAAAAAATCCACAAATTTGGTCAAAAGTGCATCATCTTCCTGACTTCGTCCCTGGAAAAACTTCGCGTCGGTGACATCGTCCTGACGTGGAGCTGTATCCATGAAGCTCATGGAGAATATCACATAATAAATAAGTATTATATGTTTATGTCTTGTGGGGGAAAGTTTCATATGATCAATAAAAAAGAGAGTAAAGTCAGTCCATGTCGACCAAATTTCCCCTTCTCCTTCTATTAATATTACGGGAGAAATACTCTCGGCTGCTACGACAATATTCCTCTTTCGTTTAATGATACACCTTGTCTTTCTATTTAGATATATATTGAAAAGCTCAAAAGGGAATGAACGGAGGACGATGAAATACATGTACCACAATTGTGCGAGCTTGTGGCTTTCCTTAGCAGCCACTTGGATCGCTGCCTGCTCATCACAGGCCATGTTGAACGCAGAGATGAAAGGCACCGCCTCCGAGTGTTGAGTCCTCTTAATATTACTGGTCCTTAGTCATATCTTCGACTAGAGTTTAACCCTTTCGCTGTTAGCCCGAGTACATACCCGGGCTGCGCACGACGATTTCACGGTGGTAGCCCGAGTACGTACTCGGACTCTGAAACCCAGTCCTTTTAGGTTGTTTCTCCTCTACTTATGGATGTAACTGACATATATTCGGTTTTTTTTTAATATTGATACATCCTTTTCTATATAACAGGGCTACTTTTTGTCGACGTATATGACTTTCGGAAGCATTGAATAAAAAAGTAATGTGCGTATCTTTATCAACCCATTCTGTAAAATAGGCTTCCTACGCACTTAGTTTTGCGTTAGATGATTAAATAAAGATAATTTTAAATGCTGATTGTGACATTTATTGTGTTAATAGTGAAAATGAAGGTGATGTAGAAATGGAAGTTGAAGCCGAAGCTTAATATAAAGATTACGATGATGAGAGTGGAGATGCAAGCAGGAATAAAGGTAGACCAAGGGAGCGAAAAACTATTGATGTACCTGAGTTTAGTGAGAATCCCCATGCAACTCATTTATTGACTTTTAGAGGAAATCTGGGGTTGAAATTGAATATTCCAATATCCCTGAGATAAACCATTCTGAACTAATTTTCCCAGATAACCTGGGTCAATTTATATGTTCCTCGCAATATGCGCTCACGGAAACCTCCTTGAACACATAATAACAATAACATACAGGTATACATTTCCATCAGACCTTATTTCTAACACAGCTCTAAGTGAATATTCAAGGGTAAAACAAAGGAGAAACCTCCCTGTATTGGAATTTCGTACATTTACGTTGGCACTGATTTTAATGGGCATTACAATAAGGCCTTCTACTCAGTCTCGCTGGAAACTGATAAACTTTTTATCATCCCTGCTTTTGTAAAATCAAGTCTGTCAATGGATTTATACGCATCTCAAAATTCGTGCGCTTTTCTGATAACACTCTGGCTGTTCCTGGAAATAAATTTTAAAACACATTTTGGTCTATCATCAATTGTTTTCAAGATAGGACAATTTAAACTTAAACCATTGTTCGCAGAGACACGGCGCAAATCTTATAACACAGTGGAGGTCGTGAGGGCTTTTCTTTTAAACAATGAAAGAGTTAAAAGTACTCTCAGCCTTCGTAGCAGATGGTTCCGATGTCGATATTTGAAGAGGTAGTAGTAATACATGGCAACGTAGACTGGGTTGCTAGCTGAACTCGTGGAACATCATGTCCTCGTATCTGGCAGAGTTGCCTGTTGAACTCTCTAACCCTCTCCCCTTCTCTCAACTTGCCTACCCCATCCTCCAAAGATGGCAAGTCAGTCTCAGTCCCCTTTATCCAAACTTGACTTATCCTGTTTTCCTTGACACCGAGTGACACTTCCATGCATTCATTCTTCAACACCACTTTTGCTTAAACTTTTTCTGATTAATTTTCCTGAGTGGTTATGTGTTAGATCCTCTTAGACCACCTCAGACCCTCTGGTAATGATTCTGCTGAGCCTGAAGAATAATATCTCATTTCTTTTATGTTACATACTTTTGGGAAGTACATATCTTGAATCTGCGTTTAACTGCTTATTATCAGTGAGAATTTATTTTCGGAAATGCATAAAAAACTAAAATTCGATGTCATGTTTCCTTGCTTACATGTGGTTTCTACCTGCCCTATTTGACAGAAGTTTGGTAATACAATTCCCTTGGCTTGGCTGATGCGGAAAATGAATCTTTATAGGAAGTGAGATAAGTTAAGTGAGATAATGCGGATAAGTTGTGAACATTTTTTCAGGACTCCTCTTCTGCCTTTCCATTTTGTGTGTAATCTATTTTGCGTGCCGACAATTGTCAATCATGAATAATACGACCAGGAATCCTTTTCCATTGTCTCAGTAGATGATATGGAAAACAGGTGCAGAGAGACTATGCCCTTGAAGGCATACATAAACAGAAGGAAGAATAAAGCAATACTCGTCGTTTCATTCGTGCTAGTGCGGCATTCCATAGCCGTCGCGTGACGGCGGTAGATTAGATGCGTATTACAGGAATACATTCCAAAGGATGGCGCTCTCAGAATAAAAGCCGAGAGAGAGAGAAAGAGAGAGGGGGGGGGGGAGAAAGAGAGAGAGATGGACCCATGTGAACTGCTACAGGGAGCATGGGAGGGGGGAATTGATCTACGGAGGGTTGAGCGTGCGCAAGGCAAGTTTTCAACCAACCGGATGCTGTGCAGCGAGAGCAGGCATCCACATTTCCCCTGTCTCCATGCCGTGATGCCCGAACCCGCCGTCCCTCGAACGCTGTTAGAAAGTATTCAATTCTACGCCTCGGGTCTGCTGTTGTTGACGGCCATCTTCACGTTGTCCGCCTTCCTGTTCCTCATCCCGTTCGTGCTGGACCCGGCCTATTCCACGATCGCGGCGGATTTCATCGACGAACCCGTGGAATGCCAGGTGCTCCAGGTGGAATCTTACTTTGGACTCTCCAACTGCACGTGGACTTCCTGCCGGGAAGGGTGCACCAGGGAACTCACAGCCTGCACGCAAATCATCGTCAGGTGACCCTCCTTCACTCTGATCGTACCGAGTACATAATCGAAGTAACAATTGAAAAGTATAAAAGAAGTTTAAGAAATATTAAAAATTGAGACGAAAAAGAAAATCGGTAAACATGAAAAGCTATGAAATCAGAACCAATATAACAGCTACATAATAGCTTGAACTATAAAATAATTAGTGAGAAATACATTTAATAAAACGAAGCAGGCAGCAACCAGGAAAATATTGAATACAAGGGACGTACCGAAAGTTGTGGCTTACAGTTTATTGTGACACTGCTATAGAAGGAACAGGTAAGACATTGTCCATAGCAGTACTCAGAAAGAAGAATTGTGATAAGCTTAAGAAAGTTTCATGAACTTTCATCGTGATGGTAGTTTAGTAGCATGCATATGAAAGGTGCCAATAGGTTCGGTTCAAGCAAGGAAGCGCGATTGAATTCCTTTCAACAGTTCCACTGTCATCCACACACAAATGTTAAACATCAACGGCAGTGAATGAATGCCAGAGATGTATGAAGATGGATGAAACACTTTGCAAGCGGCAACATGGGCATTGATGACAGACCTCGTGCTTGACACCCAGTGACTACTACAACAGAGAACAGTCAACGCCTTCACGCCATGAGGTGAAGCTATGTGCACCGTGCTCTTGCTGTGAAAACACTGCACAGGATCCGTGTCGTGTAATCACTGTGACCCTTAGTTTTTTCTCTTCTCTTCTGGTACTCATTCACTGTAATTGTTTTGCAACTGAGTGTGGATAACTGGCAATTTCACCCCTTTATTTAAAAAAAAAAGGAATTCAATCACACTTCTCTGCTTGAACTGAACCTGCTTGGCATCCTCCATTTATGTTACTACTGTGGGCGGCTCGTGATATTCAGCAGTAGTGGATCGTCGATGGAGGCAGGGTAGGGAGGCAGGGCCTACCCTACCTCCATTAAGAATCCACTACGGTTGAATATCACGAGCCGCCTCATCACTGCCACTATAAGCAAGTTCATGAGCAACTGCACATCACGGGCAGCAATGCTTCCTCCTATCACCATACGCGGCGTCATAGCGAAATTACAATAAACTGAAAGCCACGACTTTCAGTATGTCCTTTGTATATACGGAAGTAAATAACAAATACACTCTGAAATGCATAGGCATAAAGACTAGGGGATAATTTAGATGCGAATGACAATATAAAAATGTAAAGAGGACTGTTCGAACTCATAAACTCAATGCATGCATCCTAATAAGGCTTCATCGAACAATCACTCAAGCAACTTGCTGAAATTACGAAGTACCTTCAGGGATTTCATCTCGGCATTGCTTTGCAGGTAGACACAACACTTAGCCCAATAGCGTAGGAGCTTGAAAAAAAATTAAAACTGGCTTCATGAATGGCACCGCCTTCTTTCTTCATTCCTTGGGCAAATGACAAGTTTTCTCTGAATTGCTTCCTTACCTTGAAACTTTGCTCGATTTTCCTACTCATCTTTAAGAGCATCTGTTCCGCGCATCATCAATAAAATCCTTCTTGGTGAACGTCTTGGGCAATTAGTACGACCCTCTCGGCCCCATTTAAAATGGAGTGCTTCTTAAGTTTTCTCCGAATATTCATTCTACGCCCTTGAAACTCTATCCGATTCCATGACATATTGTTACGAGCTCGCGTACAAAATTTCACCTAGATCTCTCAACTTCTTGGTGGCGCTTTTCATTGGTTATTAGCCTATGTTGCTTTCGTGAAATGTTGACTGCGTGCATAAATAGGAACTTCAGATGAACCTCATCAATGTTGTTCGTGAATGTGACAAAAGATCCATTCAGTAAATATAACATTCCAAGACGTACCTGAGATGGTTACAGAAATTTCAAGAAAGGAAAGACGAGATCAGATTGGACTGATACGGTTAACTGGAAACAAAGTTGGTATAGGGGTAGTCGGGGGAATGCCGAAAAGTCGTGTTTATCCACACTGACGCTAGGTAGCAAAGATGTGATACAATATGCAAGAAGGCCTTAATGGATAGAAGTCACAAGTGTGAGAGGCTGCTTCAACGTGCGTTGCCTTACATTTGGAAGTGTAACCACTGCAACACTCAAGACTTAGATTCGCCTTCATAATCAGGTTTCACCAGGGTCTACTTAGACTGAAACCAGCACTGTTCATCCCCTCATTCGCACTGACGCCACTGCAGTCGTGAGACAGTCGATGGAACGGGATTTTAAAAACTCGATATTTCTTGGCCTTTGTCCCATCTTACATCATCTAATAAATCCAACCCTAGTTACGGCAACATTTATGGAAGTTGAATCGCGCATAGGAAGCCGATGAAATTCCTTTCAAATTCGTTTTGCAGGTACACCAGTCGGTTCCAGGGCGAGCAGGAGGTGGAAGCAAATGACACGGCGACGGGAGGAGGCGTGAAATGGGACTTGGATTCCGCGGAATTATACGTGAACGTGAAGGGCTGTGGATATCCACCCACCGTCAACTGTACCGTGTTCGCCGAATCCTACGGGGAAGAAGGGCTCATGTTTCCCTGTTTCTACAGCCGGAAGAACCCCCGACTCGTGGTGCCCGAGTATGACCCCGAAGGTGCCAAGGTGTCTCTCGTCTCCGCCACTGTCTTTCCCATTCTCATCTTCACCATCTCCGTCACCGGACTCTGCCTCATGTACGTGAGGGCGTGCCGAGAACCCGTGCTCAAGAGATTGGAGAAGACGAGGGCCTGGCAAAAGTTCGTCATGTATAGCAATCCACCCGAACCTCCTCCATCTGAACAGGAGAATCGCGAATCCGATACGAAATCCATTCCGAAAACGAGAACAGTCAAACATGAGCCAAATATCGAAGAAGACTGAAAAAAAAATGAATAAAACGCAATACAATTATCCTGTTCGCGCGATCGAATGAGTTTAAATCATAGTTCTCATCCAGGTAGAAGGTGATAACGCTATTTAAAGGAATATTTTACGGCATTTCATAAGTGCATCAAGAGAACGTATCCCGTATATTAACTCAAGAAAAGACTGATTAAATCGTAGGATACATTTTTTTTATCGTTCACAATGATATTTACTCTCATGGTGCTTTATTGTCATCCTTTTTCTTTCACTACATTACTCAATAAATTTCCAAGTTTTCCTTCCCGTAACCTACTTTCGTTGTGACATGAAATCAAAAGACAATACGACTCGCACAGAACTCCTATGGACTCAATGGATGGCTGAAGTCTCAAGACAAGAATACTCTCCAGAGACAGCAAAACTAACTTCATTCTCAAATGAGAATGACATTGGATGAAAAGTTTTAAGCAGCATACCCTGAGAGAGGAAAAGGCGACTCTTTTTCGGAATGTGCGTGATTGTAACTTCCTTACCGTGCCTGCCTCTCATAAAGTGCATGAGGAAGATGCTCGAGTATTGACTCAACAAGCCTGTGAGCACGATTCACTCTACTTCAATGTATTATCGAGCGATACAATTTTTTTTCTCACTTGAATCAGACAATTTTGTGCTTGATTCGTGCATGGGAAGTTCCTTATGCATGAGTGTTAGTGAAAAAATGTCTAACTCAAGGGAAAAACACTGCAATGCTTGATATCGTCTTTTAGTAATGATGAGGTTCTTTGCTAGCTAGAAAGAAACGAAGCTGGGCAATAGTGAATTATAGAAAATATTGTCGGTAAATATGAGGATGAAGTAGTGTGATAACTTTTTCAGAAGCTTTCCCCTTTCTTCAGCCCTCTCCCCTCCTCTCATCCCTTTCTAAGGGACACATTAACGTTAAGCTTAGACCTACCTTTTTTCGCTCAAAAGAACCTCAACCCTCGACTTACGAGGCCAATTAGGGTTATAAGAGAATATTTCGGAGTTTTCAAGACATCTCGGTGAGGACGTGTAACGTTATGCCGATTAGGGGTTTATTCCGACTTTCACAAACCATTTCCATGTTTCGGACTATCTGGAGTTTCTCGAACCATCTGGACTAGAGTATCTTGGACAGACTGTCTCCGAATTTCAAAGGCATGTTGGACCCCATCCTATTGATTCAGGGATGTCCGTGCACGGAATGTCCATCTCCCACCGTATCGATCAGCCCCGCTAACCAATATTTCTATTTCACCTCATACAAAGAGCTCAGAACAAAATGCATCATAAGATCCAAAACAGAAGATACAGACACCGATACAAAAGCAGAAGCAGAATCATGAATCGGATATAAATACAGCCCTTATATCAGGCAACCGTGGGGGACGGGAGTGGAGCCCTCACGATAAGCCCATATGAACGACAACTAATCTAATTTTCCATCGAAAGGGTGCAATGCTAACAACGGAAAGAGCAAGCATCTCTCTCAACAAGCCCATCCATACAGTTCTTTTGGTTGGGCTATATCCTCCGGTTGTAGAAAAGTAAAAACTGTGATGGAATTCACATCTTTCCTTTTCCTCCCCAACCCCAAGGAGATGCAACTTCAAATTTTCTGGAGCGATTCTGTGTTTTGAGGGAAGAAGCCTGCCTCAGTACGTTCCTCCAGAAATGGAATTCCTTCAGGAGAGGAATAAGAGGAGGCGATATTTTGTAACGGGAAGGGGTATAGGAGCGGGAATAGGCGTTATCGAGCCTATTGATCATTAAGAAGTCTCCTATTCTCATGAAGGTACAAATACTCTAAAAAAGCTTTCGACGTCTTTCCATTTTCATCCCTTACCGCAGCAACTTCTACAGCTAAATTTGGCTTGACTTAAGCCTAATTTTTCTATATGATACTTTACTAAGATGGAATCAACAATAGACACTCCGGCATTCGAAGCTGGAAAAAGTGAACCTGTGGCACCAGAAAGAACACTAGGCTGACATACAGATTTGATCTCGGACGGGGCTTGGGGAACTACACTGCTTCACGTCAATGTGCCACATCAAACGCAACAGCCAGAAAAGCTAGTTGCCAGTTGACATGAGTCTAGACTCTAGAGTCTAGATCTTATATTTAAAAAAAGAGACTCAATGTGATACATCGGCACAGGTATAACACGTTGACGATAAAACGGTAGATGACAGAATATATGGCGAGGGATGAAGAGCGTTTTCTACGCCCGTGCGGCAAGAGGAACCTCCCTGAGCAGGAGCAGAAAAATCAACATAGACGCGGTACATAAGCTTGGATTTGCAGTACGTGACCAACCCCGAATTTTAATCCGAGGAATATCCCCTCTCCATCAACACAGCGATCCAATAGTACTTGTTCAGTGAATGTCTTATTTAATTTTACCTGACTCGATATAAGTGTGTACTTAATGTGTGCTTCCATTTCATCGCGTCCCACAATCGGAAGGGGGATGTGCGATCAAGTGGTCTTTTATTTAAGGGATGGGAGAAGGCAGATGAACAAGTTTGAAAACCGCTGTTCTAGGATTAAGATGCATGGAATGAATGGCTTCCTAATGCAATGACAGAGTCCGGAATGTCCATGAACCCTGGATTCTTTTCTGGAAGTGACTTCATGATGGGGGCAACTCCATGAAAATCACCCTGTGATAGTCTCAATATTCAGTAACAGTCGAGGAAGAAATGGGACGAAGCGAGGGAAATGACAATGAGGCACGGTCTCATGAAACATAATTTAGACAAGGAACAGATTTTCACAAATCACGCCACCAAACCCTTTGCTATCTTGTTCTGGTTTCAGTTCCTCATGGTATGTCTAAGGAAAGAAGAATCTGAAGAAATGGCACAACCCTCACCTAATTATTGGGAAGACTATGGGACAGCGTGTATGTGGCTGCAGAATCCAAAAACTGTCTCGCTTTCCTTTCATTGGCACTGAGGGATAAGCCTTTGAAAGTCTTTTCCCTCAAAAAGATGATCAGAATAGGAAGTCAATATTGGCTTTTGCAGAATTTGAAGAATTTCTCAGGTTTCAGCAATATAGAGTTCACGACCTACAACAGATCCAAAATAAGGGAGACCAATAACCGTCAGCCAATGACAGGAGCAACAATAACTATAAGTGAAGCTGCATAATTTCTCAGTATTTTGAGTACTTCCTTCGCATTCCAGCTTGACTGAAGGCAGCGAGCGGATCTGACCTCTCTTGTGTGCAATGGTGCGAATTTAAGAAGTTTCACGAATTGATTTTTTGTGTGCAGGGGATAGCTTCTCCACGGGTGCAATTAGATTAATTTCTGACTCTTCCACCCGTGAACGCTATCAATGTGTGACTGTCACTTTGGCAATAACAGTTGAGGAAAGGAGAGTTCGCCCATTTTCTTACTTTTTAGGAAGAGGAGTGAAAAGGACACCGAGGAAAGTGCTTACATTGGAAAATTTTAATGGAATTATGCAATACCTACATGGTAAATTTTAGGGACGCTTCTCAAATTGTATATCATACAGAGTGAGTCAAAAGTACTTTGAAAAACTATAACTCGGCAAGGAAGGCATTAATTTGAAAACTGTTTATTGCGTATGATAGAGCGTGCGTCAATTAACCAAACAAAATGAAAAATTGCATGAAATATAATACTAATAATAATGAAATATAATAATACTAACAACATTTTTCAACATGAAATTGATATTTAGGATACAACGGACGCCCTATTCGCGGTTATTTTCTGTTAATTTTTCTGCTCCAAATGATTTTCTTATAGTGCCGATGAACTTTCTTTGGAGGAACGCATCGTCGTCGTTTATTTATTCTTTATCTATAAAGGAAATCTTTCCGATGTGAAGCGTCGTTTTGCTTTGAAGGCAGGTGGATAGACCTGATCGAGTCGCCTCCAGTTCGCCGGACATGACTCCACTCGACTTCTGGTTGTGGGGTTTCATTTAAAGACCAGACATATGTCGAAAATTCGCGCACGATCAATGAACTGAAGCAACGCATTGCTGAGAAGATTGCTGGAGCTGCCTTTCGGTGACGGCTCGCGTGATCGAACTTGATGGTGCTCAATGTCATGGCCAGTAATTACAGTCATTATCACCCCAAATAAAGCGACGATTTCCCCCCCCCCCAACGTTGCATATATGTTAATTAGTGCATGCTCTTTCCTATGCAAAAAACGTTTCCAAATCAATGCCTTCCTTGCCAAGTTATAGCTGTTCAAAGTCGTTCAGTGACTTTTGACTCACCCTGTATGATATACAATTTGAGAAGCGTCCCTAAAATTTACCATGTAGGTATTGCATAATTCCATTAAAATTTTCCAATNGTGACTGACTGACTGACGCTAATTCTAACCATGTTCTAGAAAGGTTAGAAATCTGAAACTTGGTACACATATACCTTTTGGGATGCAAAGTTCAGAAAAAATCCGACTTTGGAGGTACAAGCCCTGGGGGTACACATTTTGGGGGGAGAAGTTTTTAAAGATATATATTGTGACGGATTAGGATGGCATCGAGAGGCACAGCTGGATGTACTAGATTCGGTGGTGTAGTGGTAGCACACCTGACCGCCAATCGGGAAGCCCGGGTTCAATTCCCGGCCGTACCTTGGCTTTCGGCCTCATGCCTTCCAAGTCGCGTTACTCCTTTCCCCCCCCGTAACAATATTTTCGCTTGAGTAAAACGGAGAGACATGGAAAGCTGAAACCTTAGCATGGACGTGCCTACCGAGACGATGAGTTCAGGAATAATGCAAAATTTTATATCCATTCCCTGGGGGGATATTTTTTGGGGCCGACGTTTTCAAGTTTTTTTTTTCTTGTCCTGGCGTATTGAGCTCGTGTAGAAAGATGAAACTTGGTACATAACTACCTATTGGGATGCTGCAGAAAAATTCAGACTTTGGAAGTAAATGCCGCGGGGGCACAAATTTCAAAGGGAGATGTTTTCAACTAATTTTTTTTGTATCAGTTAAACTAATGAACATGGAAACCTGAAACTTTGCATGAATGTGACTACTGAGACAAGGAGTTAAATAAAAATGTTTAGTCTCGATGCATCCCCTCGGGGAATTTTTTCGAGGGGCGATGTTTAGGAAAAAAATATTGTCGTGGCGAATAGGACAGAAATGGAAAGGTGAAACTTGCCACACGTATAAGTGACATGATATTATTGAGTTGAGGGAGTATTCAGCTTTCATGGTGCATCCCTTCCGGGCATAGCTTTTGGGTGGGTCGCCTTTTCCAAGCATGTTTTTCCACCAGCGAAAAGGGCAAAGGTATAAGGTTGAAACTTTGTGGGCATGTAGTTCTCTAAGGATTGATTTCGGTAAATAAAATAAAAAATGTTATTTTCGGTTAAAACGCCTCAAGGCACATATATTACAAAAGGCGTATTTTCTCGAATTTCTGATCCAGCAAAACAGAGGGCGCTAGAAATTTGAAATTTGGCAAAGAAGAACCTGATGTATAGCTGAGTAAATAAAAAAATTATACTTTTATTATATATAAAAGATCGTGAGTAGCTGACTGACATAAGTCGCATGCTGAGTTGAGGAAAAATTATAATTTGGTGATACATGCCATAGGGGCACACCTTTTCGGGGAACATATTTTCAAATAGTTCTCTTTGCTTCAATCAAAAGGAGACTCAAGGAAAACCAAAACTTGGCAGAAACGTGACTGCTGTAGCACTGAGCTCAGGAAAAATGTTAAATTTCCAAAATATTGGAATTTTGGGGGGGATATTTCCTGGGGACGTTACGTTTTCAAGGAATTTTTCATATCCTAGCGAATCGGGCAGAAAAAGAAAAGTAGCAGCTGGCGCACGCATAACGGACGTGATGTTGACTTAAAGAAAAATTAAACTTTTGTTGTGCGTCTCCCCAGAGCACAGCTTTTGGATGGGTCGCTTTTCCAAATACATTTTTTACTGCCATTAAAAAGGGGAAATGTATAAGGCTGAAACAGGTTGGCATTGAGTTCCCTAAGTCTACATTTCAGAAGAAAAAAAAATTTTCGTTAAAACCCAAGAGGGCACTTTTTTTTTAAGTCCCATTTTCCTGAATATTTTTTTTTTGATCCAACGAAACAGAGACAGAAAATTTAAAATTCCCTCAGAAGTACCTATTTGATGGCTGAGTGTAAGAAAAATCCTGCTTTTGAAATATGTCCCCTTAGCGTAGATTATAGGAGGGAAGTATTTCAAAATGTATTCACCATTACAAAAAGAGACATGAAAAGATTTCAAGTTGGGCACACTAGAAATCATAGAAGGAATGATTTTGTAAATAAAAATCAAGACTTTCGTCCCCACATTTCACGTATTTCAACGGTGACGTTCTTTAAATACGTGTTTGCCATTTCGCAAAGGATAAATGAATTAATCACTCTCCAAGGTAATGAAGCGCCGAAGGAGCGACCATAGCAAGTTTGTTTGCCCGAAGGGCAAACAAACTCGCTAGTATCTAATATATATAGACGATCGTGACTGACTGACTGAGTGACTGCCGCTAATTCTAACCATGTTCTAGAGAAGTTAGAAATCTGAAACTTGGTACACATGTACCTTTTGGGATGCAGAGTTCAGAAAAAAAATCCTACTTTGGAGGTACATGCTCTGGGGGCACCCATTTTGGGGGGGAGATGTTTTAATGATAAATATTTGCTTCGATCAAACGAAGAGACATGGAAAGCTGAAACTTGGCATGGACGTGCCTACTGAGACAAAATTTTCAGGAAAACTGTCAAGTTTCAGATGCATACCCTGGGGGCATACCTTTGCGGGATGACGTTTTCAAATAATTTTCCTTGTCCTAGCGAATTCGCCAGAGATAAAAAGGTGGAACTTGATACATAAGTACCTATGATGAACCTGAATTCAGAAAAATTCAGACATTGGAGGTAACTGCCCTAAGGGTACAAATTTCAGGGAATGTTTTCAAATATTTTTTTTTGCTTCAATCAAACGGATAAACATGGAAAGCTGAAACATGACATGGAGTACCTACTGAGACTCTAAATTCAGGAAAAATATCAAGTTTTTAATACATGCCCGGGGGGCATATTTTTGGGAGGTGAAGTTTTCAAATAATTTTTTTTGTCCACTGAATTGTACAGAGATAGAGATATGAAACTTAGCCCAGCAATAACTGAGGTAATGGCGAGTTCAGAAAAAAATTTCAAGTTTTGTGGTGCATACCCCCAGGGCACAGGTTTTGACTTTGTCGGCTTTTCCAAAGATGTTTTTGCACCAGCAAAAACAATAAAAGGATAAGGTTGAAACTTGGCATGCACGTAGTTCTCCGAGTACTGATTTCAGTAAAAATGTTAATTTTTTTAGGTTAAACCCTTGAGAGCATTTTTTTTTGTTGCAAAAGATGCATTTCCCGGAATCTTTTCTCATCAAATGAAAGAGAAAACTAAAGAAAGTTGAAGCTTGGAGCAGAAGGACCTGTTTGATTGCTGAGTGTATATCCACCTTTTGAATTACGATCCCTCAGGGCAGATTATGAAGTGATTTGAAGTTAGGCACGCAAGAAATTATCAGAGTAATTATTCCATGAAAATATTGGTTCGTTCTCTCTCGGCATACATTTTGACAGGCACATACTTAAGATACGTTTTTGCCACTTTGAAAATGAATTAATGAATGAATCACTAACCTGGACAATGGAGTGCCGAAGTCGCGACCATAACGAGTTTGTTTGCCCGAAGGACAAACAAATTCGCTAGTAACTTGATAAAGTTCAATGGCTCGTGTCACTCAATGTGGAGTCTGAGAAAGAATCCTGAAGTAGGAAGCAAAGAAGACAAATCACGCTGTTCAAATGCATTGGTACATCATCAGGGGCCTAGCGCAAGTGAAAAATGAAATATAAAAGGGAACCATCTCAATTCATTTACTACCTTTTGCAACCATGGGATTAACACTGGATGACATGGCAAATTGCATGTGACCACGTGAAACGTCCATGACAGCAAGAGACGACGTTGGTTAAGGAGTTCTTTTGTTCTTCAGTGCCCCCTTTCAAATTTCTGGTTTAGCAGGCTCGCCAGGATCACATTACAAGCGATGGCATCCCTCGTTAAAGGTAAAATATTGTATAGCATTGCAATTTCATTCATATGAGCATTCATATGAGTTTAGGCCATTTATGGAAATTAGAGTTGGGTCAAGTGGGCCTAAAATGTCCGTTCTGACTCCGGAGTTTGAAGATATTAGAATATCAGGTGATCTCTAAATTAAGGAATGATAAGAGGCCTAAACATGACTCCAGGAGAAGGGAACGAACTACATACAAGGTTCCCTCGGGGAATGGGGACCTTTGCTAATCCTCAAATTTTTTAATCGGGGCAGGCAACTTAGCCATTCATGTTCCACTCTCCTAGAATGGCATTCATGTAAGTATGAAACACATACTGTCAAAGGCATTTGACTCAATTATTTGCTGCTATTTTGTGGCTGATTCCATATCCATATATTGCTATTTTGCAATTAGACTTTCTTTTGACATAATGAGGAGTTCCCATATGGGCATAAATCCAATTGGGTTGGAGCAGACAGGAATGACAGTGCATACCCCATATTTATTCCATAGATAGTGGAAGGATTGCGGTGTTGCGACATCTGTGTTGTTTGAGTGGATTATGATGCCCCCTGCACTGGAGTTACATGAACTATGTGTGGAGTATAAGAGTTAATAAAAGTCTGCACTATTATTGCTGTAGGACAAGAATTGGAAACTTTTGCATGAACCAGATTCTTTAACCAATATAAAATGGTTATATAAGAATGTAGTCCTGACATCAATAAATTCAATGTTTTGCAGTCATTTGAGTCCACTTATTGTTTGTCTTATCTGACTAGGAGAGGTAGTTCTATAGATTGACCCAGTTCTAAGAAGCAAGAAAAATTGTTGACCAAAAATGATAATGCAGCTAAGGATACCCAGAGTGGGAGCTGTGGAAGATCTGGTCATACCAAAATTTGGTAAACTTGTACAATAGCAGAAGTGAATCAACATGAGCTACATTTTTATGCATTCATTGAGAAAGAGGCAAAGGGGGACCTACAGCTCTCAACCAGCATAAATGTAATATAGCCATAGATCTGAGTAAGGTTACAGTTGTTCTGTGAACAATTAAAATTTGCTTATACACCGAAGAGGTGCCAGCAAAGATTTCCTAAGCTGACTCTTGGTCTACAAAGGTAGAGGTACTACCTTTCACCTGAGACTATTAAAAAATATTCAGCACACTCCTGCCCATTTAGAATTATTTTATTTTGCCATCTTATTTAAACATTATTAGTCTGTCCTTTAAATTTGATTTGAATATTTTTGTCATATAGGCTTAGGATGCTTTATTTTGTATAATTTCTCATTGTCTTTGCTTTTCTTTAAAAGTAAAATGTAAAAGGTGTAATTCATTTGATGATGATTTGATACTGCCATTTTGGTGACTATAGTCTGCAGCAATATAGAGAATCCATTGACTGACTTAGTTTTACTTGAGTTATTCTGTCTTTTAATTCAGTACTTGAACACTTAAGTAGGCTGCATTTTATTTTATATTTTCATCTGAACAGGAGTGTTCATTGTGGGAGCAAAACGTACGCCATTTGGAACATATGGGGGAGCATTCTTGAACAAGACTTGTGTGGATCTCCAAGAGGTTGCAGGAAGAGCAGCTCTTGGGCAAGCCAATGTCAATCCTGAGCTCATTGACTCAGTTATCATCGGCAATGTCCTCTCAGTGAGAAATAATTTTTTTTTATTTATAGAATAGAATATATTTTCCACATATGTGCAAGTATGGACAAAAGATAAAGAGAAAGACAAAAGTGAAAGACAACACAAACACAAAATAGGAATGCAAGGAAAAAGAAATAAAATGCAAATAGTGGGCAATATGGCCATCTATAAAACCCTTGGACTTGCCCTGGGTGACCAGGTTGGGAAACAAAAATATTGGCTGGTTTTTTCTTTAATATTTTTTCATATATTGTTTTTTATGGATAGTCAGCCTAATTAGTGAATTATGAAGGAGCTGGTTCCTGTATTAGATTCTTTCCATTAAGTAATCATATACTTTGACTTCAAAAATTTAAATTGATCTTGTAACCCTTATATCCTCAAGCAGTTTATTAGAATATATAATGAACTGCTTGAGGATATAAGGGTTGCAAAATCAATTTAAATTTCTAGTCCTTCTTGATCACTATTTTGTTGGGCAAATTTTTTGTTTGTTCTGAGTATTTGAAAATTTCCTGCTTTTGATGCTCTTGTTTCAAAAGGGTAGGAGTCAATGATTCTAGTTTCTTTTCTAAGTTTCTGACATTGAGAACTTTGCATTCTTGATAAATTATTCAACAAAGTTTAAACTTAATTAATTTTCTCTTCCCCCTTCTCCTTTTTTTCATAATCCTAGTACTTCTTTTTTGGAGCACTGCTATCTCTTGTAAATACTTATGGTATGTATTACTCCATAATGAAAAGCATTAAGTTATATGGGGATGAATTAGTGTGAAGTAGATGTTTCTTAAATGTGATTATGGAATTAAGTTGTGTACTTAACTCAGCATCCCATTAATTACTGCTATTTTTGAGCAGATTTGGTGTATGTGGTTGTCCCAAGCAAGGTTTCTGTCTTATACTACTAGGTTCAAAAAGTTTTGAGACTCAGGTCACCGTGGCTGAACGCTGTGTTGCATACCAAAATAAATATTGCTGAGCATCATTAGGGTTCCACACTACATGCATATCAAGGGCACATGGGCTTAACTTCACGTGGCAATGACTGGGTTGTTCCATGTGCAACTCTTCAGCTGTCAGTCAGCGGTCTGCATTCTCCTTGCGAAGTTGTCACGTTTCGAAGAATGTGCTAATGTGAAATTTTGCCTGAGACTGTGTAAAATGGCTGCAGAGACCTTTGGGATGCTGAGACAGGCGTATGGGGGCAAGACAATCTTGCGCCCTCGAGTATTTCAGTGGCATTGACGATTCTGAGAAGGCCGTGAGCCCCTGGAAGGTGATGTTGGAGGTGTTCTTCAGCCACAAACATATTTTTCATCGTGAGTTCATTCCGGAGGGAAGAACGGTGAATAAAGAGATGTAAGTAGATGTGCTGCAGCATCTCTGAGGAGCAATCCTGAGGAGGATAGTGAGCTGTTACTTGACAGACACTGGCACAATCTTACTACCACATACCCCCTACTCCCTGGTCCTTTCATTATATGACTTTCACCTTTTCCCAAGAATGAAGAAGCACCTGAAGAGACATCATTTTTCCTCCACAGTAGAGGTGAAGGAAGCTATGGTGGCAGCACTGAATGGGGTTGCTAAAAATCAGTTCCAGTTCTGTTTCGAGGAACTTTACAGACGTTGGCAAAAGGGGACAGAAAGCCAGGGCCACTACTTTGAAGGTGACATAGCAACAGTGCTGTAACGCTCACCATTTGTGTGCAATAAACCCAGTCTCGAAAGTTTTTGAACCTACCTTGTATTATCCCAACCATTCTAATACTTTTCCTATTAATATTCTAAAATTTTATTGCTATTGAAGTTTTTCACCTTAGGTCATTTGGTCCTTACAGCTTTCAGAAGGCTATCACTCTTCTTCTTACTGGTCAGTATTAGAATTGCAAATTTTGTCCTGGGTTGAACTTTTATGTCATCATCTCAAGTAGGTAAGTGATGACTAGCGTCTGTCACCTCCCTCCAAAGGGACCCCAACAAAAGCACCAAGCTTCTAGACTACTTCAGTGAAGCCTTCTCCTGCTTTATGGGTCATGCCTTTCACTTCTAAGTCACACATCCTCAAGTATTGTTCCAGGTCTTGTGTCTTCTTCTACTGCTGATTGATTTCTCTTTCATCCATTTGCTCTCTTTCATTTCTTCCTATTGTTGAATAGCAATTTGAAGCTTGGGGAATATTTCATTATAGCTGTCAGGGAGAAATTTCATGGAGGCATTGACTTCTTCAAGTTTCTTATTTATTTCTTTGTTACATATTTCATGGTTTCTCTCCATCATCTCTAAGCAGTTCACAAGTTCATCCATCATCTTTGCACCACTACCTTGCTTCACACAAGGCTTCTTTGGATATTTCAGAAACATGTGGTTATGCTTCACCAATATCTGATATTTGTCACTTTCCTTGTCCACACATTTGGCATGAAACCATACTTTGCAATCCAGGAAAGTATTCTACCCCAGAAATATTCATGCCTCTATGAAAAGAAAGTAATGCTTTCCTATCTTTGGACTGTAACATTTGTCACTTGAATTGACAAAGTTGTGAAGGAAGAAATAGAACATGCATTTTTTTTGTTTACAAGTATCTGTCATTGTTAAGCTGATGGGGTTCTTCAAAACCTTCTCTGTAAGTTCAAGGTGCTTCATTTTTGGTTAAATGTATAAGAATGGCTGTGAAAGCTTTTTTGACAAAGGGTTACCTTGTATCATGGATTACCTTATTGGTACCATGTAATCCCTGGATTGGTGATGCAACTAATGTCATTTGTAACAACATAGATTTGACCAAATGTACCAGTACTGGTATCTTACAAGAACCTGTCATCCCATTTGCCTTTGCAGTTGTGTGAGAGTGACAGATTCTTTTGTAATATTGCCAAAAGCAGCATTTGTAGACTTTTGAAATTTATGGCACATTTAGTCGATAACTGGCAAATTATATGCATCAAGTAAGTGAAATTATAGTTAAGTTTTTATTAATAGCTAAAGTAAAAATAAATTAAAATTTGGGGACCAGGTGGTTTGAGCCATTGTGTGGAAATGCTGGTATTGCTTCATGTCAGTGATACCAGTAATACTCTGGTCTGTTTATTACAGGCAGCATCAACAGATGCCCCATATGTTTCTCGCCACGTCTCCTTGAGACTGGGTATTCCAAAGAGCGTCCCAGCATTAACTGTCAATCGCCTGTGTGGATCTGGCTTCCAGGCAGTGGTGAATGCATCTCATGTGAGTGAAATTCTGTGAAAGTAGGCCTACTGAACAATGCTAATTTATAGGGATATGATTTTTTTGTTCTGATTTCCTACTTTGTCCACTTTTATAAAAATTGGTGGGCTGACAACATTCCTCCTCTTGAGCCACTATGCTGAATCCTATATATCATATTATGTATTTTGATGCTAGAGAACATATCTAGTAATGTTAGTGAAAGAGTGTATCAGAATAATTTGAGTGTGTTTTTCTTCAGGCAAGTTTATTTTATTAGGATTTTTCTGGACTGAGCTTTCATAGAGCCTCAATAGAAATTAGGGACTGCTCTCTGCACTTTACCCAACTTAACCCTTTGCCTCATGGCTCAGTACATCCATTAGACTTGTTTTGTATCCATTTTATAGAATATACTTTAGCAAAATATGTTATGTGATACCAAGAATATTATGGGGTTTTTCAGACAAAAGTCTTATCCCCATTAATAAATGCTGGAAAGACATCTCTATCTGTTCTGATCTCTGATTTCTGAATGCAGGAAATCCAACTGGGTGATGCAAAAATAGTTCTGGCAGGAGGGACTGACAACATGAGCCAGTGTCCATTTGCAGCTCGCAATATGCGGTTTGGCACAAAGCTGGGGGAGCAGTACATACTTGAGGACATGATGTGGGCTGCTCTGACTGATGCTCACATCAAGACCCCTATGGGTGTCACAGCTGAGAATCTGGCTGAGCAATACAAAATCACTCGGGAGGATGTGGATGAGTTTGCATACAAATCTCAGATGGGCTGGAAAAAGTGTGAGTAAGGTTACTAAAAGCTTCCTGCAAGAAATCATGAGAATCTTCTAACATTTTAGTGAAAATTCTAAAATTTCACTCTGACAGTTGATTTTTCCTTTCTTCATTATTAACTTCCTGATTGTAGAAATTATGTTTTTTGCTTCTATGAACCTGTCTGAATGATATGCACTGCCAGACTCAGACCAAGTAGAAGTTTTCAATATGATGTTACCTTTTGTTAGGCCAAGAAGGTGGATTTTTCAAAGATGAGATTGCCCCAGTAATGGTGAAGACTCGGAAGGGTGAGAAAGAGCTTACATGTGATGAACATCCTAAACCAGAAACCACAAGAGAGGGACTTGCTAAGTTGCCTTCTGTCTTCAAGAAGAATGGAACTGTTACAGCTGGCACTGCCTCTGTGAGTCAGTGCTTCATTTCGTTTTAAATGCAGTTTTATACATAGTGCAGGACTAACTTTGACATAAAAATTATAGGAAAAATACAATATGTAATTTCAATCATACCCATATCACTAATTGCTGAAATATACACATACTGTGAACAATAAACTGAAATATGATTCTTTTTTCTTTCCAGCCTTTTTGCTGCATTCAGCCCATTAGTCTTTTCTTCCATCAACTGGCAAAAATCAGGGAAAACCTATAAAGTGAGATAACTGTGATGTAATATTAAAACCGTTTTTTAACATCTTATCTGATTGAATATTACTAAATATGACAGTTTATTGAAGTGTTTGAATATTACTAAATATGACAGTTTATTGAAGTGAATTTTTGAATGGTCAGATTCTAGCCTGGTGAAGTTTTATGTAATAATTTAGAGCCTATTTGACCCCCAAAGGGCTTTTTTTCATTCTTCTGGTCATACATATGTAATGAAGCAAAAAAATGAAAGCTAGCTGCAGTTTTCATAAGAATATAAAGCGAAACCTAATCAACTTTTGTAATGATCCTTCAAATATATTTCTGTCTATAGGGGATATGTGATGGGGCTGGAGCTCTGGTTGTTGCAAGTGAAGAAGCTTGCAAGAAACACAATCTAAAGCCTCTGGCTCGCCTTGTGGCATATGGCATCGCTGGCTGTGATCCTAGTATCATGGGTATAGGCCCTGTTCCTGCCATTCAGAAGATGCTCAAGGCTGCCAGTATGCAACTCAAGGATATTGATCTCATTGAGGTACTATTCTATCTCATCTTGTGTATAACATCTAGCTGACTATGCAAGTGGCTCATTACTTTGGTTTTTTTTTTTCAGATCAATGAGGCATTTGCGCCACAGACTCTTGCATGCCAAAGAGCCTTAGATATTGATCCAGCAATTCTGAATGTGAATGGGGGTGCAATTGCTCTTGGGCATCCATTGGCAGCATCTGGAGCACGTATCACAAGCCACTTGACACACGAGCTCAGGTTTGTCTCTTTTTGTGACTATTTTTAGTGGAAGATAACACATTTTTGATTCAAATTCATGTTAATTCAATTGCAGGCAAAAGAAGAAGAAATATGGAATCGGGTCAGCCTGCATTGGAGGTGGTCAGGGCATAGCCCTACTTCTTGAGAGCATTCAATAGTCCAGATTCAAATGCTTCCATACAGGGATTCATTTGTAATCATTCGCATGATTATGCTTTTGTTTTCTTTTTTTATTATATAAGATTTTATTTTTTCTGCTGCCTGAGAATGGAAGGTGGAAAGAAATCTGCATGTATTAAAAGGGGTGATGATTTTCTTATCAAGGAATAATTTATTTACCTGGAATTAATTATATTAGTGTTTCCTTAGTAGAGTGGGAAAGCTCCACTTGAGCTTATCCTGTACCATTGACATAATCTTTCCCCTTTTGTTATGTACTTCATACCTATTGATGGAACCAGATTGCATTACCTCAGAAGTTTTCTCTCGTTGTTGAGATGAACAGGATGGACAAAAGAAGACATTTAACTTATTACAAATTATCTCATATCTTAATGTAGCCCTTTTCCTAATAGTTTTACTGTGAAGGTGTTGATATGATCCCATGTAGCTTGTTAAATTTAATTCAAACTCATTTTACTAAGGTAAGACTATGAGCAATTATTGAAAAGAATTTAAGTATTGCAAATTGAATGAAGGCCATGGTGGTAGTCAAGTGGAGGAAATGACATTAACTGTGAATTTCATACAGGGTGTCTCAGAAGTCAGAGTACATAGGGATATTAATTTGTAAAGTAACAAATTCATGGAAATCAAATTATTCTTATGCAACTGACTTAGATATGCTGAAATTATTTGTTGCTCACCTTAGTGGTTGTGTGGTGTCCACAATCTCATAAATCACCTGGAAATTATAGCACAAGAAATGCCTTGCTTATAAAATAAACAATAGATCTGAGCAATTAAGAGCAAGGTTGGAGATTTCAAAAGCTCTTCTATTGATTTAAGCAACAAATATGATGGTGATAATTATGTCAGATTAGATTCAGAGAATGAGTAGTGACTGAGAGTTCATTACACAATCATAATGGTGTATATAATTACTGAACATTAGGAATTGATTTCTGGTTGCAAAGAACTCAGTATTTCAAACAACAGACATATTTCACCAATAACATCCAGATTGTCCAACCCCTGACAATGATAAGGACGTTAGTGGAACGTTTCAAGGAAAACAACTGTGTTGCTGACAAGCCACACTCATGGGGGGTTCAAATAGTACTATTGGAAACCACATATATAAAACGACATGTGATGTTGAGATCAATTCAGCGTCCACCCGCTGCATCGGCAGAGTTCATGAATTAAATCCATATAACTCAATGCCACCAAGAGTTAATGGAAGATAACTCTGACAGCGCACTTCAGAAACATTATTCTCGCAATTTGCGTTATCCCCTTCTTGAGAGCCAGCAAATGTCCATCCACATCTCAAGTGACACTTCTCCTAGGCATGACCCCGTGTCCGTGCACTTGCCCCATAGCAGTTCCGGCGGGACGTTGGCGTGAATTTATTTATTCGGCAACAGTCAGCGGCCAGCCGATTCTCCTGATTTGAATGAACATGGAATCATTTGATTCATGATTATCAAAGAGGGATTGCGTGTCCATATGATTGGAGAACCAAGACGAAATAGTGGAGCTTCGATCTCAGGGCAAGTACGCAGTGCGTCATTGTGCACAGACGCACATGACATTGTGGCGGTAGCCAAGTGGGGTTTTCGTTTGTTGCTGAGATGGGAGTCTTGCATTTCGTGGCGTTTGACCAAATTTCGGGAGATTTCAAATGCTTGGAATTCATTGAATATCAGAAAAAGGTCCTCGCGGATTTATTTCATAAGCTTTATAGAGCAATTCCTGTTTGGAGAACCTGCGAGGAGTGGACATATTGAACAACAGATTTGGTGTCATTTAGAACAACTGGTGGAACTCACATGTACAATCTGGCAAAGAATGACATTAGTGACACAGCCATTGCGCAGTTGAGGTTGGAGGTAGGTGGGCCACGCTAAGTCACTTGAACCAAGTGGACCAGGAGGAAGTTGCTATTCTAGACTACTACTCTAACTACTGCTCTGACTACTCCGTTGCGACTCTTGCGACTGCTCTCCAACTGCTGCTCTGCCTCTCTGGACATCCAGCAAAACCTCTCTACCTCTCCCCCCTAGTCAGTGACTGGAGCCTACTTCCCACATATAGGCATCCCTTCCCCTACGTCACTGACCAGGAGGTCTATGAAGTGGTGCAATTATAGCATGGCCAACCTACCTCGTAGCAGACAAGAAAAACATTTATATACAGCTCCGCCACAACATGGCAGTTTAGGAGTTGTACATTTGGATTTTTCATTTATTGGGTCATCTGTCGACCTTGTCCTCGCTCGATCCAACGTCTTCCTTTCCAGCAATACGGCATGAACTGAAACAATGTGAAATAATTAATTACTCAGCTGTGACGGAGACGATTGCCGATCGAAAGGTGTCACTTGACTTCGCGGACGAAGAGCCATCTGCAGGCAGAAATGGCGCCACGTCCGACCCGAGAACGGGAAGTAGACCCAGGAGAAAATGTTCTATAGAATTTCTATAGAAAAAATTCTATAGAAATTCTATACAGTGTGCCTATAGAGATTCTATAGAGACTTTGTAGAAAAATCTACCATATTTCTATAAAAATTTCCATAGAATAATTCTATAGAGATTCTATAGAATCTCAATATAGGGAGCTGAAAGAGACCACACAGAGACTTTTGGTAGTCTTAGGATTTCCTTAGGGCAATACTTCACAGATCTATTTCC